TATCAGTTTCAAAGCTTCTCATCTCTTTTTTTAGGGGGGGAGAGAGGGTGCAGACTTACATTTTCTTCTATATAATTCAGGCACCCATCGTTGGGTACGAATGCAGCAATCTTTTTCCCGTTCTTGATGAGTTGGACCCTGGCACATTTTCTAATGGCAGAATTGGGCTGCTTAGCCTCAATACCTCTGAAATCAGATGACCATTGCTCATTTAGGTACCAAACATTTAAAAATAGCAAAGCAAAACTTAAAGAGCAGTTTACATAACAATATACATACGTATGAATGAACTGACCAATATTTAGAGTGATGAGAATAAATGGAAGGAAAAAAAAAAAGGTCAGTGAGTCTCAGAGAGAACCAGCAGAAAATATCAATCGGGACACTACATCTAAGAACTCAATAACATCTGATGTTACTACCAAGATTAAAATCAAGTTGGGTGACAGTCACTTGTCATGTTGGGTCGTCGAATCGACTATGATAAATTAAATACATCTAGAAATAGGAGCTCCCAACATCAAAAATCAATCAGGTGACTCTCACTGAAGTGCTTGGATAGAATCTATTATGACAAAATCACACATTAAAAACTAATGTAAGGAATGAGATAGGACAACTTAGATGAAATGCATTATATTGCCGAGTATGCTTGCAACTCCCTTTTGAAAAAATTCTTAAGATAACAAAAAGTATGCTTGAAATCTTACATCTTTTCCAACACAATGCCCTTGGCATGAGAAGACCCGGCAAATGGCTTCTTCCATTCATTGCCAAGGTGAGACTTCTTATAAGATTTGTCAGCCCACCTTTGCCTTCTACGGTGGGACTTCAGCTTGCGTCCAGCTCCCATACCTCGTGTCTTCCTGTTGGATTAGGTCATAACAATAAATATCAATCGATCAAAACCAGGTCCAAAACCACAACCCGCGCTTCGACAGGAGTTTTCCAAATGGCTATAGATTATACTCGCCATATTACAGAATTCTTAACTCATTCAAATACTTGCGCGTCAAAAAAAAAAAAATCTACTGGTAATTGCAAATCAGATGAAATTCTAGCAAGTATTCATTAAAACTAAAAGGGAAAAAAACTCCTACGAATCATTCACTCCTTCGACCATATTCATACAAGGTAGGTTAAACGTCCAAAAATAATCCAACTCATTGTAACAAAAATCAATTCTAATCCCATACTCCATGTATTCATACTAAAAACGGATGTGATTGTAGGAAAAAAAAAAACGACAGTAAAGAAAGTAAATCATTTCCAAAGCCGATCCAAGCAAGTAGAAATCGCAAAACGATCAAATGAACTATCTTACCCCATGTTTGCAGAGACAACTGGTTCTTCGACTGTAGATGGAGGAGCAGCACCAAAACCCTAACTAAGCTTCAAGGATAAACCGGAAACGAATAAACGATAATATATGGAGAACCTGGGCCGGATGGGTTGAAATTTCGGCCCACCATTTTGGGCTAATTTCTATCGTTTTGAGCCCAAACAATGCATCAAAATTATTTTATAAACATTTTTTTAGGAGTTTTCAAAAATTCCAAACTAAAATTTAGTTTATAAGCTTCCACTCATTTAAATTCAAATTTATTATTAATTTTTTAAAATTATTTTCTTTTACTAACTATTATTATATACGCATATATTTATTTTATTTTTATTTAATTTCATAATTATCTTCTCCAACAACTTTTTTTTAAAAAATCTTTTTTAACTATTTTGAAAATGAATCAATATCAACCCTAAATTTTAAATAAATATATTTAATTAATATTTTATTTTTATTTAAAATAAAATTTGAATAAACCACCTAAAAAAAATTATAATTGAATTAGATTAGATTCATCATTTGACTCTGATGAGAGTCGTCGTTAGTAAGAAAAAGCCATTATAAAATTATATATATCAACAATAAATTTTAAATAAATATATTTAATTAATATTTTATTTTTATTTAAAATAAAATTTGAATAAACCACCTAAAAAAATTATAATTGAATTAGATTATATTCATCATTTAACGAGAGGATAAGAAAAAATCATTATAATAATATATATATATATATATATATATATATATATATATATATATATATATATATAATTTTAATGTTGCCTATTACAACCCTATAAGCATATGTAATAAAACAAGAAATTTTTGACAAGTCAGATGCTAAATTGAAATTTCGAGCCTAACAAATTAAATCGCATGTAGATGCATTGGCTCGAGGTCGATGGGATTAATAGATTTGATATTCGTCACAAAACATTGCTCAAATTTAATGAAAAAAAAAATGTAACTTATTTATTTGATTTCCATAGTTCTTTTCCCTATCAAAGTAAATGTTTTTTTACCATGGAAGTGGTAAATCATCAAGTAATGAGAGGTCGTCGTTCATGCAAGAGAAGTCGATATCTTCCAATGGATCGTCAAGTTCTTCAAAAAATTGTTCATTGATTTCAAACATTTGTTCTTCATTTGAATCTTCGGCTTGTGCATGTATTTTAATGCTCTCGGTTGATATGGAATTCATAAGTTCTCTAAGAGATTGTTCGTCGATTTGAAACGTTTCTTCTTCAAGGTTTGCAATAGCTTGCTCATGTACTTGAATGGTCTCGGTTGATATGGGATTCATAAGCTCTCCATGAAATTGTTCTTTGATTTTAAACGTTTCTTCTTCAGGGTATGCAATAGCTTGCTCATGTACTTGAATGGTTTCGTTTGATATGGGATTCATAAGCTCTCCATGAAATTGTTCGTTGATTTTAAACGTTTCTTCTTCAGGGTTTGCAATAGCTTGCTCATATACTTGAATGGCCTCGGTTGATATCGGTGCCTGATCTTCCCTTCTATAGTACAAAATCTTATGTCGAATCTTACAAAAAACGAAACGATCATGTACGTTCCCATTCGGTACGAGATCAGGATTAATAGTATACTCATGCATGATCCACGAACAATTCTCGTTACTTTTCTCAACCTTACGATTCTCGTAATGAAAACGTTTTAAAGTCCCAAGTAGAATATGATTATCATCCGAAGAGAATATTTTAACAGCAGCACTCTCTCCACTCCAAGTTCCACCATTGGAGCCAACCTTTCTGATGACTCGAGATTTTTTCTTCTTCAACTGCGTGAAAACGTGGAGATATTGATCGTCGATCCCTCCGTAATTTTGCCATAACACCGAAGGTTCCTCGCTGTAAAGGTCGACGACGGGGAGCACGTATGGAGTGTCGTTTCCGACGATTTTATGGTGGAGATAGAATTGGAAGAGTTCTTGATCGGTGGGACAGAAGACGTAACCCAATGGAAGTTGGTTTAATGCTGCAGTGGCCATGATGCGAGGGAGAAGCTGAAGGCGGAAATTAGGAAGAAATCCACAGTTGTAATGAATGGAACTCTGCAAGTCTGGACAAGCCATTTATTTATATAGGAAAAAGGCCGAGATTTTTTTAGAGATTATTACACAAATTTGATTTACTTTGAAGATATATTTTAGATCCAATCAGAATTTAAATAAATATTTTTTTTTTTGTTTGTTTGTTTCGGTAATTATTCTAACAAAAAATCTTAATTAATTAGTTTTTTTTTAATTAAATTAAATTATTATAACATTTTTAAGTTTAATTTAATTTTTATTCATAAATAAATATATTGTGAATGAAAGGCCTTGAATTTTAGGGTTTTAAATTTATTTAGTAATTATATCTCGTAATTCTATCTCTCTCGTAATTCTATCTCTATCTTTATCTTGTAATAATACATTAAAAATAATTATTATATATGATACATTAAAATGTTTTTTAATAATTAGACTCCAATAAAAATAAAATAATTAATATTATTTAATTATCTAAAATTGAGTACTTATAATAAAATTAGATATAAATCAACCGTATTTTTATGCAACATCAAAGTTAAAATATCCTCGAACAGACCAATCTATTTGTCGTTATTAAACTGGCCACTAAACATATAAAAAATATTCGTGTTAGACGAACATGACTCTCCACGGTTAAAATGTCTAGCCCAATAGGGTTAAGTTCATATATGAGTAATTATATTTATGATTTAGGATTTTATGAATAAATTTAGGAAACTGATTTAGGTATTTTAGGACTAAGCTGAGTATACCCTCCATCCTACTTAGTTCATCATCCAAAAAATACCAAGCAATACAAACGAGTAGTTTCTATCGAGTTTTTGTAAATCTCTTTCTACAGAATATGAAGGAGTAGTTTCTACGTAGTGTTTTGTAAATCTCTTTTTTTTTTTTTTGTAGTGTTTTGTAAATCTCTTCTCGATTGGTCTTAATCTCTTCAAAAAAATCCTGAGCAATACAAAGGAGTAGTTTCTACAGAGTGTTTTGTAAATCTCTTCTCGATTGGTCTTAATAAAGTGTGCGTGTGTTTCCCACGTAGAGTTGTGTTTAACATCCACAATGGTATAATATTGTACACTTTGAGCATAAGCTCGCATAGATTTGTTTTGGGTTTCTACAAAGTACGTCTCCCCTTAATCGAGACTCGAAAATGCCTCAAAGCAAAGTCACGAGAGCTTATGCTTAAAGTGGACAATATCATGAGAGTCGTGTAACTCAACCATGCTAATAGATTGGCAAATCCTCAAATGTCGAACAAAGTATTGTGAGCCTCAAAGGATAGTAAAAAAGTGACTAGAGAAGACTCCAAAGAAGTCGAGCCTCGATTAAGGGGAGGCATACTTTGATCGAGGGGAGGCGTTGGATGAAAGTGTCTCACATCGATTAATTGAGGGAATGGTATGAGGCCTTTTAGGAAAGCCCAAAGCAAAGCCATGAAAGCTTATGTTCAAAATGAACAATATCATATCATTGTGGAGAGTCGTGTTCGTCTAACAATGTGTTTCAATATAATTGGAAGAAAATGACAGAAAACAAAGAAAACTCCAACCAAATTCTATTACGGTCCTAAAACCAACGAACCAGTTCAAAAGATGTAAGGGATTGACATGTAAAATTATACATTGCCCATTTGCCACTGCATACAATACTACATATTAGCATAGTCTTCGAACATGAAACAAAGCAAAGGGCAAAGGGAAAGTACAAGGAAGAACAGAAGACATCATAAACCATTCAATTCATACAGTATTATAGTTAATTCAGTAACCAGTTTTCTTCTGCTCTTTCTTCCACAAAACTCCTATCTTCTTCAACACATTTCCATTCTTCTTCTTTGGCGACGCCTCAAGATCTTCCGAGTATGGTGACCCCATAGGGTAATTGTTCTCCAAACAAACTAGTTTATCAACAATCTTCCCATTGTTCCCAGTTGAGAGTATTGCAGCAGCTGCCTCAGCTGCCTTCCTCCACTGCTCTGCTTGCACTTTCAACCTCCTCAGCTCAGCTTCCATTTCAGAGCTTGCAGCCTGTGCAGCATCCAATTGCTCGGCCACTCGTGCCGCTCTTCGGTTACTTTTATCTGCCTCTTCTGTTGCGTGCTCGAGTTTCATCAGCGCCTCCTCTGCAGCTTTGGTTGTTTCTGCTATACTAACCACTTCCTCATTGATCTTCTCAATTTCCTTCTTGAGTGCATCATTTTCCTCTGTTGTACCCTGCAGCTGTGTTTCCTTTTCCAAGAGCCTGTTCTTCAGCTCCACCATATCAGCCTCTAACCTTTGTAGTTCCATTGCTAGTTCGGACTCCCTGTCGACTGGTATCATTTTGCTTATCTCTGAGTTGAGCTCCTTGTTCTCCTCCACAATGCTACACAGTTGAGTTTCTTTTTCCTTAAGGTCTACTCTCAGTTGTTCTAAGTTCGCCCTGGTCTCCTTAAGTTCTGCATCCAATTCGGCCTCTTTCTGACATGACTCTACTTTCATTTGTTCCACAAGTTCGTGAGCAATTCTAATTTGCAATGTTGTACGAACATATTCCTCCTCGAATCTTGCCTCAGCTGCCTCCAATGCAGATTTTGACTTATCTGCTTCTAATCTCAAAGCGGTTAGCTCAGTTTTTACCTTACTAATATCATCCTTTCCATCGTTTTGCTCAGCAGCTTTTGCTTTGACTTCAGGATCTAAACCATTGTCTTCAGAATCTAACAAACCTTTCTGAATCTTCTTGCTGATTTGTTCCTCCAATGATTGAATCTGAGCTTTTGATTGCTCCAACTCTAATGACAGAGAGTTGTAAGCGTCAATGGCTTTAATTCCATCCGATTGCAGCTTTTCCACAGCTGCCTTGGCTGTTTCAAATTGATTATGATTTTTCCTTGCAACTTCAAGAGCTTGAGCTTCAGATTCTTTACAGTAACTAAGCTCATCTTTCAGTTTTTCAACTAGGGAGAGAGTCTCTGATAGCTGGGTTCTTAAACAATCTATCTCAGTTTGTGCAGACTCAGCAAGCGTACTCTGGGTGGACTCAGATTCAGACGCCGTCTCCAACTGGACCTTGAGCCTCTGAACTTCATTCATGGCAGAGGCCAATGAAGCAGCATCAATTGAATGTTGCTTTTGAATGGCCTCAAGCTCAGACTGCCATGCTCGATCACGATCTTGAGAAATTTTGTGCAGTTCTTGAACACGATCTTCCTCCGAATTGGAGAGCTCGAGCACCTGCTGTTGGGATTCTTCAAGCTTTGCAGACATATCTGATAGTTGTTTCTTTGCTTCTTCCGCCTCCTGTTGGGCCTGTCTTTTGTCTGATTCAGATGCGCTCAGTTGGTCACTTGTCTTCTTTTGTTCCTCCTGAAGTTGAGAAAGCTGTGATTCCAATTCAGCCACTTTGCTAGGCACTTTACTCTGAAATGAGAAGAAAAAAAATCCTAATATCAAAAAATCAAAGTGATATGGTATAATCTATCATTGGTCATAAAAAGTAAAACAAGTACCTCAGTGGCCAGAGATCGTGGTGACTTGCGGTCAGTCACCACCCTAGGACTCCTCTCTCTCGGTGACTTGCTAGCAGCAAGTGGAGAAGTGGAAACGGAATCAGGATGTGAGCTTGGAGTTTTAAGTTGACGAGCGGTTCTAGGCGTCCTGGGGGATTTTCTTTGAGGTACTTCTGAGGAGCCAACTCTGCAGTCCAATTTAAACAACTTTTAATATCTGCCCATAATATAACGTTGCTACTTAGCTATACCACTAGGTGCCAATGAACCAAAAGTGTCTTTTATCCTGAGAGAGGATAGAGGATAAACACACAAATCAATGGAGGATAAGCTACCATGCATATTCTGTGTTCAGCATAGCTTGACTTGTAATTAAGAACATATCAATCTCTGATCAGTCTTCACTGAATCTCTGATAATAATTTAAATTATATATTATCACTTCAATCATGATCCTAAATGTTAAACTATACATATCTTTAGACCCCACGTATAAGGAGAGGTCAAATTCCACACTTTTCTCTCGAGTAACGTGAATTTTTATCTGCAAATCAATCTCTCAAACCAACCCAACTCGCAACTAGATCGTGTAATTTACCTCATCTAAAACCTTGCATGATTGCATCATGGACAGTATTACTTCTTTGAGTAAAACATGAACATTTCAGATTACAGTTAAAAACAATCAGAAATCAAGAATGAAAAGTGGGAAGCCAAAAGATAAAGAACAAAAGAAATCCGTTCGATTAAGCGGCCAGAGGGTGCAAACAGCTATGCAATTCAAAAACTAAACGATAGCCTTACTTTGCTTTGGGTGTCTGCATGCTTGTGTGTTTCCCTTAGAAAAATAATCAAGCAGATAAAATAATTGAGTTAATAGAGTCTTCTGACCCACAGTACCTGAAAGAGCCGAGAGAATCTTGCGTGAGAAAAAGAACAGAAAAGGGAAGCCAATATATGTTTGTACAAAAATTATTCACAAAGGATAGCAGCCTCACTACCAGAGATCAATATCAGTACCAAACTTAACAAAAAAGACAACACACAATGCAATCCCTTCAAAGAAACTCCAAAAAACTAACCCCACTACAACCAACAAAAGCCAAATCCATTTCAATTTAGCCTTTTTTCAAATATGAAAGTAAATGGAAAATTGTAAGAAAGAGAACCCTATATTTATCATTAGGCAAAAAACATGTTTCGGACTTTTAACATTTCCCTTTTCCCTTTTGCCCCTCCTTTTTGCCCTACAGTGACCTCTGTTTGAAACGCACTACTCTGGCCCAAGGGCCCCTGAAATTCATTCAAACGAATTATTACATGAAATTTCGTATTTAAGGTGTATTCCGCCGGGTTTTTCAGAGAAAAATTAGCTTTCATTTGAGTATTTTAATTCCAGATACACTTAGAAATGGAAAAAGTATGAAGTTAACAAACTATAAAGCAATGTATTCAATGGTGGATCATAAAAAGCACTAACAAGTAGATTAAAGAAACAAACATATCCGAGGAAGAAGCAAAACAAATATTAATGGAGAATGGTGAAGAAGGGCTTTCAGAGTCGGCCCAGTTGGGTAAATAAACTGAACTCACAGATCTGAGAGTATAAAGTATTCAACATAAAAACAAACAATAAGCAGAATCACAACACCAAACTCGCCATAGAAGACGAAGAGACTTCCAGAAAGAAGCAAAACCTCAACAGTTTCGCATCGTAAAAATCAAAACCATCCGGAAAACGCGACGCTTGCTTCCAAAACGCTTAACATTACGCGAAATCAAAGCGCACGTCAAAAGAAAACAGATCTTTCAGCAAGTAGAACAGAAATGGCGCATATATTGGCTATTATTCTCAAACAAACAGCATTTGGCGAAGCGGAAGGAGGCAGTAAAACAGAGTGTTGTTACCCGAAAATGGAAATCTGCTGATGCAGCTGATGCTGGTGGCGATTTTCCTTAACAAATTCGCTTGAAATTACAGAAACCCTAGTTTTTTGAGTTGAGGCTGCAAAGGAATGGTGAAATGGAGGTGCTAGTTCTTCATCATCTTCTTCAACTGGTTTTGTGCTCAGTTCCCGAGTTCTCTTTCCATTTCTCACTCTTCAAAAGTCTGTTATGTTATGTCAGTGGGAGGGAGCGAGTGAAGAAGAAAAGCAACGTAAAATCAGTAGTACGATACATTTCTTTATTCAGTGGTCATTTTTTTGGGCCACGCTCCTCATGCCTCACGCGCTTCTTCACCCTCCAATCACGTTTTTTCTCCAATTTTTTTTTATGGAAAATAATCTAAATTGATTGCTTTATAAATTTCAATTTAAAGTTTAGATACTATAATTATATAATATCCAAAGTTTAAAATTATCAATCGAATATTAATTTTGAGTTTATTGTCTAATTTTTTTTAAAAAAATTAATACGTATTTAATAAGTTTCTCGACCTTCAAAATGTATAATAAATTATTGAATTTTTTAATTTGATGTTAGAGGAATCACCAAATTTATAAACATCGAAGTTTATCAAGAAGGTGGTGGTCCAAATGACACGTTTTATATCTAATAAATTTGTGAATTTTAAAAAAATATAAAAAATAAATAAAATAAAATAGATACATTTAACAAAAGATTGAAAACTTTATTTAATAATTATTAGACGGGGACTCAAATTAATTTTTAAAATATTATATATATATATATATATTTAACAGTAAAACTATTATTTCATTGTAACATTCTCCTTTTATGTTTTCATTTTTGAAAGCTTAGTTATAAAATGATTTTTTTTAGTATTTAATTTCAATTATATTTATTGAGTTTTAAATTATAAATTAATTTAAATAATAATGAGGAGATTATTTTATCCGTGTTTTTTTATGTGACCATAAGTGGGAGGCATTGATGTTGGCCACAATGACCCAAATGTTACATTCCTATGAGCTTGTGCTCTGAATCATCATTGCATCAGCATCAACATTCAACTTGATTCTAAGCCAAGCAACCATTTCCTAAAATCATTTCTCTTTTTTTTTTTTTTCTTTTTAATTTTCGCAATAAATAAATAAAATATGCTTTATAATCGCTTCTAAACCACTTTGGAAGTAGAAATCTTGTAATGAGATTTTGGTCTAAAATTTTAAAAAATATCTATTGAATATAATTTTGAAACCAAATTAAAAAAATAATAAATATAATTTTTAAACAAATAATATAATATTATCATGATTAATTTTTTCAAAATGAATATAATTCGGTGGTAGTTTTTATATATATTATTTTCTTAGAGCTAGAAAGTTCAAATTCCAATAAATAAAGCAAATAATCAATATAAAAATATTACAAGTTTTATTGCGTTGTGAAACAACTGGGTTAGTGCCGCACATGGGAGTAGGTGTGGGGCGGCCGTACCGGCGGAGGAACCGTGGGGGAGAGAGAGAGCGACACGGTGGACCTGAGAAGGCACGTACGGCGGAACCACCGTAACGCGGCGGCTATCCTGTTGCAGAGAGGAAAGGCTTATGCCATATTGTGGTCGGTGTCAATTAATGTTTGTCTCGACATCAAACAAACCCTTTCTCGTTGTCTGCTTCTTGCTGCATAATGGACCACCACCTCTACAATTTAATTAAACTATAAATTTATATTTGAGTATTTAAAATTTTAAAAAGAATTAAATATATTTATGAACTACCCCCAAAAAAAACCCATTTTAATGGGTTAAATAGCAGAGAATTACCTGTACACTGTAAATATTACTGTATAATTGAAGATCATTGACTGAAATCAATTTTTAGATGGCAAACTGGGGATTCTTGAACTGAGTTTATCTCCGAGCAAGGTAATTTTCCAACAATCCCATTGGAAAATAAACACAGAAGACTTCTTTGGCACAACTGCAAGATCAAAACCACCAAATAAAGAAACATTCAAGGTCATTTGTTAGAAAAACCTGCCCAAATTCATAGAACTTAATTGGTTTTGATCACAGAAAATGCAACAGATTTAAGATTCATAAGGAGGAGTTACCTCGAAACTTCTCATCTTTAGTAAAAATTCCAAATGTTTCTGCAGTTTCACGAATCATGATGCCGCTTATTCCAGTAAAAGCAGGTATTTTACACTCAACAACTGCAGTGGATATCATCAAATGATAAAATAGCCAATATGAGATAGAGAAACACTAGTATGAAACCTCATGCTCTTATTACAGAACCATTTTAATGGTTCTTGTCAACAAAATTCTCTAATTGTTCTTGTTTTGTTTCTTTCTGTAGCCTTCTTGTTGGTTGGGTCTTGTTTTTTGTGCTTTCTTTCGTGGTATGAAAATTGGTTTATTTGATGAACAAGGAATTTATATAAATATGATATGAATGCAAACAATTCAATAGGAGAAAAGAATGGTTTTACCTAGGATCATGGCACCATGAAGGTCTACGACGAGAAGATTTCGAGCTAATGTATCTGGCCTGCAAGATTTGAAACTCCGCTCACCCAATCAAATAGATAACATACCACTAATACAGGCAAACCATTGATGTAACAAAAAGTAAAAATCTAACCCAACATGGCACAGCCGTTGTTTCATGTAGCTTTTCCACATATCGTGCATTGGCCAAAAGATTTCAAACCTGAAATAGAAAGCGCAATAATTTATGGTCAAACATAAATGATAGTGACAGCAAAAGAAAACCCATTTCAATGGGATGCTTATGAAGAACAAACTTAGAACTCTTGAGATTCTAATTCCCTTTTGATGAATAACCTTCTTAATCCTGTTTTGATGGATAATAACCAACAAATAGATTCTAATTCTAATTTCAGGAGAATTAGACACTTTCATCAGCCTTGTTCCAAACAAAATAATCCATTGTCAAACATAAATGATCGTGGCAGCTGAAGAAAACTCATTTCAATGGATGCTTATGAAGAACAAGTATAACATTCAGTAGAATGCAACAAACATGACTTTACTCAATAACCTTCCAAATTTCATGTTCCATGGATATCGATCAACTACTAAATTCTAATTCTAATTTCAGGATAAACAGACATATTCGGCATCATTTTCTTATTCAATCCTATATGGGATAAAATGGGGCGAGGAGATGGTGATGAGAGCTCTAAACCAAGGAGAAAAATGGAACTCACTTATGGAAATCAGAAGGCAGATCAAATGTTCCACACTTTTTATGTTGCTTCATGGACATATGCCTTTTGGATCGTTTTGAACTGCTCTGCAAAGCTCTCTTCCGAGAGCCAATCATTTCAGCACGTTTGGGAACAAAGTTATCAAGAAGGATCCAAGCATCAACTTTCAATTCTCTTGACCGCTTAATGTAACCGCTAGTTCTTAGCTCGTGACAAATCTTATCAACCACTCTTCCTCTATTACTTGAAACCTACAGAAGACGTGAGATTCAGTATGAGTTTTATTAGTTCTCGTTTGATAAACGGTTTCCTTTTTTAGTTTAATGTTTTAAAAATGATGCTTATTTCCTCACAATTTTTACTGTATTTTTTCATCTTTTTCATACCCCGTTTAATTTCTTAACTAAATCTCAAAAACAAATTTTTAAAGACTACCTTTTTCAGTTTTCAAAATTTTGCTAAGATATTGAAATTGCTTTCAAAAAGCTGGATGCAGACATACAAATGTGTGGATGAAATAACATTTATAAGCTTAATTTTTAAGAAACAGAAAACCAAGTTATAAACGTTGAAAGGCCCTTTTAAGTTTCCAGTGATGCCAACTTACATCCATATTTGTAAACATCAAATTTTCATTCACAAATTGCTTTCAAAAAGCTGGATGCAGACATACAAATGTGTGGATGAAATAACATTTATAAGCTTAATTTTTAAGAAACAGAAAACCAAGTTATAAACGTTGAAAGGCCCTTTTAAGTTTCCAGTGATGCCAACTTACATCCATATTTGTAAACATCAAATTTTCATTCACAGCAGCTGAGAGGGTGAAATATATAGGGTCGCTTTCATTCACATCTGCACATGAAAGAAATCAACTAATAATAAGCAAACTAAAACATACTGCCTTCCCAGCAAACGAAAATATTAAAACCATAGTTACGACGAGGGGACCTTTATTTGAGGGTTTCCCTTCAGACGGCAAAAGAATTGAAGAATCATACTGATTTCCCGAAACAACAGTTGAAGAGGAGTCGTTCAAAGTAGCTTTTCCCTTAAATTCTTTCTTTAATTTCTCTGTAGAACCAGTCTTCTTCTGTTGTTGAAGAAGTTCGACTTTCGCAGCAGCACACCTCCTCTCCAATGCCTCCAAAGCGTGTTTCCTTAAATCTTGAGAAGCTACATTGCCCGCCATTGGAAATGGACAGTTGATTAACCCTTCCTGAAACAATATACGATTTTTTAATACATAGAACTTGAAAAAACATGCAAAGAAAACAAAGGTAGAGGTCCATGAACACTACTTTGATTGATAATTGTGTTGACAGAAAAGTCATGATCTTAGAGACAAGCCAATTTTCCGTAGAGACCAAAGCGTTATACAGATTATCAAAGCCTCAATTGACTTACATATGCAACAAATCAAAAGGCAGAGGGTAGCACATGGCAGTTCAAATTTGTCGCAGGGCTGTTTCTATAGTGGCTATTCGGCTATCGTTGCGAAAAAAAAAACAAAAAAAAATCATAACAGCTACTCCATTCTTTCGAAATTGGTCGAATTTGAAGGATATTGAATTTAGGCATGTAAGAAAATAATGGAATCAGATTGCCTCCCAGTAATTTCTTCTATATTACGCAGCTTCTTATTTATTCAAGCAAACACAACGGCACCCAGTCAACCTGCTTTTTTTTTCTTTTTTTCTATTTCATCTATTTTCATTTAGACTGATTGAACTTACAGTGATGAAGAACTTAAACAAACACTCTTGATTTTCTTCTCAGTATTGTGTATGTACAAACTAACATAACATGCCCAGATAAAACAGACCTTGGAGTCGGAAAAGATGAGACTGCAGCGTGCTGCGACAGCCGCTGAGACGATGTCCAGCAGGATCGGCGAGCAGCGAGCAGCGAGCGGCGCGGTGAGAGAGGTGCAGTGGCGGACTATGCGAGGGAGGGGCGGCAACGGGAAATAGGCTTGTTCGAACGGTGAAATAAATAAATTGATGAGAA